TGCATGTGCGTTTTATATACTAATCAATTATATACCATTCTATTTATCACTTTGCACCCATCCCACAGAAAATGTGTTCTTTTAGAAATGTTCATGTATTTTAGCTCACACACGGTGCCCTTAAGAACCACGGCTCATCAGCAACAACGCCTAATTGATAAAATGAAAGGATATAAGAGTAAAAATAGATCCCAATTCAACCGTAAAGAGAGTCTTTACAATAACTTTTCACACAACCTATGATCTACGGTATAATTTTGCTTCTTTGAATCAGCTGCTTAAATTAGATATTGTGAAACATAACATAACAAAACATACTGGAAAAAAGGTAGCAATTTTAGTATCTGGAGAATTAAGGCATCATTTTAACGAGTACTTGCGAGCACATTACTGGGTCACAAATAGATACTGAGAACAGTAAATGAGAAGAAAAATTCCCTGTTAATTTTACATTTATACACACATTTTTCTTACTGCACAGTTAAAGGAAAAGAAATCTTAAAGATTAGTTCTAGATGTAGTAGATTACTTTTTTAGTTACACTCTTAACAAACCTCTCAACCTATCACTCTACCCTTTACAACCTGCTTTATCAAATTTTCAAAAGCTTGGAAATGTCCTTTGATTCATTCTTCTTTGTATATTTAAGTATAAAACATGAATTCATGTGAAAAAGAAAGTTTTCATAGGACTCTGTGCAGCTCTTTGAAAAACTCAGCTCAGTAGCAGGAATTTGAAGTGATTGTTTTCTGGCTTTATCATTGTGGGGGAATTTTGGCTCCCTCTTCTTTATAATGCTGCTTCACTTCATTCAGATCTGTGAGCATTTGTTTATGCACCGCTCTCTCAAGATCCCACCACGGCATTTCAATGAGGTTGACGTCTGGACTTCAGTGTTGGTGTCATTACTCAAAAAAAAAAAAAAAAAAAAGGAATATTTTGTACATTACTGATTACTTTTCTTAAAAGTAATGCAGTATATTACTTAATTACTCATTTGGAGAAAGCACTTTGTTACACTACTCGTTACATTGATTCCTTATCACGCTAAATGACCTGAAACACATTGTCACATAATTATCAGTTAACAATACAAACCTTAGGCTACACCCCCACACACCAGCACAAATCCCTATTCTATATTTTTTTCTTTTTGTTCTTAGTTAAGAAAAGAAAGCCAGCAACACAACGACAAGAAGAAAACCAGCACAAACAGACAGCGATCGCCACAGTGATTCTACTTTAGAACCACGAACAGGTAGAAATAAAGTTAGCTTAGCGTTAGCATACAGTCTGTGCAGATGCTTGCACTCTCGTCCTTTTGTGCTATAAAAATGAAAGTAATGTCCATGTCTCCAACCCTATTGACAGTCCACTGTTTTCCATAAACTGAAATCAGCTGATTGTAGCAGAAATGCACATAAAGAAGAAAGTATTTTTGTTTGATTTTTTATTTTTTCATTTTATCCGCCTGTGCTAAGCATTGCGATCATTGTCCCGCTGCATGACTAAATTTCTTTCGCTTTTCTGATAAACGGGCTAATACTTAACTCTAGAATATTTTGGCATACAGAAGACCTCATGGCTCATATGACTGCAAGGTGCCCAGAATCCTGTGGCCTGTATGGCCTCCCTGCATTGTCAAATACCACTGATATGTGTACCAGTGACATCTGACCCTCCAATTTGGCTAGAGAGTCAGCAACACCAGATGTTTACTTTCACCCAGAAAGATGATGTCCTCTAGTACAAATTTACAATAACCCATAAAAAACTATTTTAATGGTTCTACTAATGGAAGAAGACCAAGACAAGGCTGCATGCCCAAACATGAACATTGCATGAAAATGATGCTAGGCTACATCATCTAAAATCATGATTAGGGAAGTTGCACCTCTCATAAATTGTTTTTATGTGGACTAAATTATGACATCAGCACACAAAGCAACCAGCACATATTGTGGGCGAATGTGCTGCTGATGACGATCAGACCAGATGTCACTGAGTCGGAAACCTGAAGACATTAGGAGGGGTGAGCTGGTTCAGCCCCACTAACAGTAGGTTATCTGTGAATTTAAGTTGTCTCCAATGAAGGTTTCTAAAACCTAAAGATGTAAAATGTTGAGTGCAATGCAGAGGTGGGGATTAATGCTATTTCTTTAAATCTCCATCAGTGTGGCTCATCATAAAATCAGCACACCTTTTTGTCTCATCACAGGAAATGACACCGAGCTGTTGTACTTCTAAAAGTCACTGAACACCACCTGGCTGGCACCAAATGGCAGATGAAGTTAGCAACTGGTGTTGAAAATTTAACTGTTAAAAAGCCATTTTCCCAAGAGTTGACACAAACGGAAGCAAAGCAAAGACTTAAGTTGTTCACACTTGTTAGGTTGACAGAAACATGACTCTGAATGAATGCTAAATTTCTAAGTCTAACTTACTCCATGTTTAATAAGCACTTTTTTGCAATCCTAGTAAACTAATAAGTTATAATATATAGTCACCAACCACAGGTACACCCATTCAACTGCAAATATCTCATTGGGGGGTTTTAGGGGTGAAAATGCTTTGTTGATGTCAGAGGTCAGAGGAGAATAGCCAGAATAGTTTGAGCTGATTGGAAGGCAATAGTAACTTAAATAACTACTTATTACGATGAAGGTATGCAGAGGAGCATCTCTAAAGATCACACTGTGTGCCACTTCTGTCAGCTAATAACGGGTCACTGAAGCTATAATTACCACGGGCTCACCAAAATTGAACAACAAAACATTGGAAAAACATTCCCTGGTTTGATGAGTCTCATGTTTTGCTGCACCATTTGGTTGGTAAGGTCAGAATTTGGCATAAACAACATGAAAGCATGGCTCCATCATGCCTTGGAACAACAACTTAAGCTGATAATGGTTGTGTAACTGTGTGGGGGATATTTTCTTGGCTCACTTTGGGTACCTTAGTAACAACTGAGCATCGTTTCGTATCGTCTCTGACCATGTCCATCCATTTACAACCGCAGTGTACCATCTTCTGATGGGACAAAACCTCTGAGGAATATTTTCAGCCTTTTGTTGAATCTCTGCCACGAAGAACTAAAGCAACTCTGAAGGCAGCGTGAGGTTCAACCCGAAACTAACATGTTATACCTAATAAAGTGGCAAGTGAGTATACATTCACTTTGTGGGGTTTTCCATAAAAAAAAATATCAAGTTTGAAATGAATTTTTCAAAGTAACAAAAACAAACATAAAACTGATGTCATGTTTTATGGCCTTTAAATAAAGAATACCAGCTAATTCTAAGCTTCATATATTTCTTTTCCCCATCAACACTGTGTTCAGGTAGTTCAGCTCTGTGAGTGATCTCAGGACAATATGAGCAAAGGAAACTATAGACTAGAATCGATTTATAGAACAGAATACTGATAGGAGATTCATCTTGAATATCAAAAATGCGTCATTGTTAGCTGGTTGATTATTCCTCAGTTGGAGGACTTCGTCTCCCTCTTTCATAGAGAGGAGGCCTTGATGCATTGTCAGTCTAAGAAACGGATTCATTTTTAAATGAATCATTTAAACCACATCTAAAGCCTGGTTTCCCTTTATCGTTCACTGGCCTGAGACAGACAGAGGTGGAGAGCCTTCATGGCCGAGCTACATGCCAGCCGGTATTCTGGACATTAACTCGCTCACTTTTCAAACTGACTGTGAATGCCCTTCAGAGCCAGACACCGGCCTAAATGCCACTACATGCGGCTTTCTCTGATTGTGAATGTATGCAGGCTTTATTTCCATTTCCATTATTCCCCTTAAATCTGTTATATAAACAAACAAACAAACAAACAAATCCTTGCAAAAATGCTCACACATGTGTAGTTTTTCACACATAGGGATCTGAGGTGCTGCGGTTATCATTGCAGTTGTTGCTTTGAAATGAAATAAATGTGGAAAGAAAAGTATTGATTAGCCTTTGGGAATACGTAAAAAGCCAGATGGACTCTGTGAAACCCTTGATCTGAGGTGGTTTTATATAAACACATAGCATAAATATATAACCTTTGAACTGTTTAGTTGATGGGTTTGATGACCTAAGTTTGTAAAGTAACACCATTTTCATTGTGAAATGTTACACCATTTAAACAGCATATACTTTTAGCACTGCCAGCACCTTTCTTCTGGCAACTTTTGAGTCGACAATCCCACAAACACACTTTGCATTTTCACTTCCATAAAATTTGTAATCAAAGTTTTCCTCCTCCAAAACAAGCCGGACCATCCGTGTTTTTTCTTCCTCTGTGATCCATCTTTCCCACCTGGCAGCGAGGTGCCATCGACAAAGTGACATCCTCTGCATTCATGAGCACATCATCATCTGCTCTCCTCACCAGGAATTAGCCCTTCATCACTCAAATCTCACAGAAGCTTTAGAAGTGCTTAACTTTTATCTGCATGGGGCACTGAGAAATGGCTGGGGCCATTTGAATCGGGTTAATAGGACAATATTACAACATTTTTCTTAAACTAATGGATGCAAATGGTAAATTCCCACTGGCAATTAATAAGTAACTTCAGCCTATTTCCCATCGAATTGCCTCAGCATTCATTTCATGACTATATCTGTGCAAAGTCATCCTTCACTGCCAGCTCCTAGTGACTCTCCTCTTTCTATCAGTGGCTGTATGGATTTTTTCCAAATGATAAATTGGACACAGGGAGCCGCTGAGGTGTGACCAGGTGTCAAAGGGGTATAGCTTTTTTGTCTTAAATGGTCCTAATTATGCTGAGGACCTTTAGAGCTGTTCCAATAGGCGCTGATAAAATGTTGTGGGATGTAACGCTACAATAATCAATGAAAGTAATGCAAAGCCCTCTGCATTAAATGTTTGTATTTTTTAAAGTAAAGTTGCTCCCTTATTTCAAAATCCACTGCATAAAATAAAATAGTCACGTTTCAGTGCTTCAGAGTTGCATCAGTGTTTGTCTGTCGTTCACCTTCTCTCTTTTGACTGAAGAAACGCACCGATTGTATCCCATCCATCACTTCCATCCATCCCTCCTCCCACTCTTCAAACCCAGAATCGAGTAACGGTTAATTTCTTATCCACTCTCTCCTTTGGCACCGTGGAAGGCAGAAACTTTGCACCGCATAACGCAGACTGGCATCTTCCTCCAAGCGATTCCAAACGACTGATGCTCTTTCACGCGTTGAGAAAGTGGAGATGAACCAGTTCGACGCTTAAAGAGAGGCATTAAAAAAAGTTGTGGATGGTTACTTTCGCGCACAAATATTTAAAGGACTATTTTGTCTCCATAAGTTGCAGGGCTGTGCAGGAGCAGGTCAAATTCTTCCCTCAGCAAACCTATCCTCCGCAGGCAGGCTGGAAGACCATCCACCCGGGAGATCACAGCGAATCCGAAGAGCGCAGATGATCGCATCTGGTGTTTGTGGCGTCGCGCTGGTGCTGGGGTTGGTGGTTCTGATTCCGGTAGTGGTGAACTCCGCCGGAACTCCTGCCCGCTATGAGATGCTCGGATCCTGTCAAATGGTGTGCGACTCCCACGGGACCGCAGCTACGGCTACAGCCAAGGCAACCAACCCGATCAAAGACAACCGCCTGGTTCAGTCCCTTCCCACGTTCATTCAGGGTCCTCAAGGAGAGCCGGGACGCGTCGGGAGGATGGGTCCCAGGGGTCCGATGGGCGAACCCGGGCCACCTGGACCTGCCGGTCCGCCCGGGGAGAGGGGGCCACCTGGCCCTCCGGGTCTACCGGGGGCACCGGGAGCGAACGGGCCAAACGGTGCCATCAGTGCAGCCACTTACAACACCGTCCCCAAGATAGCCTTTTACGCAGGACTGAAGAAGCAGCACGAGGGATATGAAATACTGAAATTTGACGATGTTGTTACAAACCTTGGAAACCACTATGATCCCTCTAGCGGGAAATTCACCTGTTCGATACCGGGGATTTACTTCTTTGTTTACCATGTGCTGATGAGAGGCGGGGATGGAACAAGCATGTGGGCTGACCTCTGTAAAAACAACCAGGTAGGACAACTCACGATTGCTTTAAAAAAAAAAAAAAAAAAAAAAAAAAAGCTTGATTATTTTGACATTAGTTTTCTTGCAAAAAATGTAGACTTTTTGAGATTTTTACGCACAAGTCGCCCATAGAGCGACACTTCCTGGGTATTGTGAAACAAACAAAGTTACGTGGGGGATTTTTAAAGCTTCAAATCAAGATAAGACGTGGAGCTGTCCGCGGTTCTGATTTCGAAACGAAGCCGTTTCACAAACTGTCACATTTGCCTTTCAGGTGAGAGCCAGCGCCATCGCCCAAGACGCCGACCAGAACTACGACTACGCCAGCAACAGTGTGGTTCTTCACCTGGAGCCCGGGGACGAGATTTATATTAAGCTGGACGGCGGAAAGGCGCACGGGGGCAACAATAACAAGTACAGCACCTTCTCCGGCTTCATGTTGTACGCTGATTGAAACACGGACAGATCTGCTGAAGAGACGAGAAAGAGAGAGAGAGACTGGGAGGATAAAAGAGCTTCTCTGCATATAGCTTGCTTCACCGCTCGTGCTCAGTTCAATGTCAGCTGGATTATTAGAGGCAGAGCTCACCGTTTCTATAACTCGAACAGAATCAGCAGTGATGTGGAGGAGGTCATGCAAAAAAACAGAAAACTGTGCTGGGCAATAGCGACGAGCTGACAGTGTAATTACAAAACCAAAATAACAGTTTTAATTTGTACAGCACCCACTTGTACCCTTGTCACATTGATTAGTGTTGCTCGTGCTCCCTGAATGAAATGTCGTGCTTTATGAATTAAGTTTGCAGACGGTAGCTCGTGTGGTTACACATGTCCCTGTAGATGGAAAGTTTATAATGTGATGACTCACCTATAGGTGCAAATATGATATTATATATATATATATATATAGTCACATGACCGCTTACAGTGCTGTTAAACCATTTGTGTGCTTTATTTAAAGGCAAAAAAAGAGTCACAGTGGGTGAAATTTGGATGAAAATGTTGAAAAGCTGTAGTTATGCATGTTTAATCAAAATGACGTTTTAACACTGTGCAACATTAAGAGACTTGACAAGAAAAAACTGTAAAGGGCCATTCGTACTGATGCACGAATTCATCAGTGTAACTCGTTTTTCTTGCGTGTGTCAACATGGCATCTGGTTGAGACAACATGGTGGTCTGGTGGTTAGTCACAAAACTGGACAGCCACCGCTGACAGAAATGTTATATAACGCTCATCAATCTGCTTGCTGATTATTAAACTCCTCCAGAGTCCACTGTCAATTCAGATGTAAAATGTAGTGCGGTATTAAATCCTCACGCTCACTTTGTAATCCTCCTCAGAAGATTAATCAAAGTTAGATGGTTGTTCACGCCGCACAGTCAGCTGTGGCGATCGCGCCATTGATCATGTGGCGAAGTCACCCTGCGAGGCCACCTGTTCCCAGATGAGAGGAGAACATGTCCTTCATCCGGGCCTGCCAGCCAGTCAGCCTCCCATAGACACGCAGACACCCACCGAGGGGCAACAGGACAACTCATCTAACACAGCCACATTGTGTCAAGAGCAGAGCAGCATACTGATTAGTAATGCGCTCATTATTTCCCTTCCATATAACGTGTTTGCATAAGTGTCGCCTACGAATACAAAGAGAGCAGCTATGACATTGAAATTACAAATAACAATAAAAAAAATTGAAAAAAATCAATTAGCACCGTGTTTGTGAGCACCTGGAAATATTTATCTTGGATTGCAATCACACTTCTACTGACGAGCAAAAGATTTTCTCGTGCCATAACAGGCACCGTGACCCTGCAAGGCCTCCTTTATTAATTTGCTTACAAAGTGAATCATGTATAATCACAAATATTTAAACAAAGAGAACATGTTTTGCACTAAAAGAGCCTCTACAAAAATCCAAAAGCCTGTAATTATTTTCCTTTGAAATATAATGGACGTTTTGTTTTGCTGAAAATGGTGAAATTAAAGAAAAATTGACATACAACGGTGGCAAGCCCGTTGCTATATGAGCCCAAGAACACATTAATGCATGACTCCGGATCGTGATCAGTATTCATTACGAGTCGTCATCAGAAGACGAATAATAGCCGGGTGAATTCGCCCTCCTCGCGCCTCTATTTTTTTAATTATTTGAAGGTCAACCAGCATTTAGGATTGTCGATAAGGATCTTGTCCACCTGGTGCTGCGATATGCCCCTCGTCAGCATCTTTGGCACGATGTTCTTCAGGATGTGAGAGTAGCCGTGGCCGCCGTACTTGGTCAGGCGGTTCTTGGTGTGGATGTCATGAGCGATCACGATCTTGTCCTCATAGCCCTCCTTCACCAGAAACGCCAGGCTGAACACGAGAAAACAGTGGGGTGAAAAATGAGGGGCCTCGGTCTTTTAGCCTTCATTCATATATAGGAACAACATGAGCATAACTTATTCAGCTCTCTTAACGTTATGGGAAATTTGTGTTACTTTAAAAAACAACTACACGATGAGCTCTTCTTTATAGTGAAAGTAAAAGATTTAAGGTGGAGTTAAGCTCCAAACACAAGGATTTCTATTACTGGACTGGACACGGATTCCTGGAGGTTTCAAAATAGTGAACAACACGTACACACAGAAGAAATCCTTACTCACGCTTTCACTCTCTGGCTGTCGCTGGGCATGTCCACGTCCAGGTTGTACGGATAGTTCAGCATCTCAGTTCCAAACAGATCATACTCCAGGTAACTCCCCAACTTAGCAAACTCCAGCAGCTCACCTTCATCCAATATCGTCCTTTTAAAAAGGCCAAAATAAAGCTGATAGTTATGATGCTTTGTTTGGAAAAACGAAGCTGTTGTAAAGTTGCTTTCCAGATAATGATGCATGGCGGATCAGAAAAAAGATGGCACTTTTTGAAATTTGAATTATCAACCCATGAAACCTGTTACCACTGATATTCATTCCTATTCTTCTGTAATTTGGCACACCTCAATCACTTTCTCCTCATTTCCCTTCCCTAATGAAAAGGCTTCTTGACATGCTCCCCTCCACTGAAACCATTTCTGATGAGGCCTCAGATGCATCTCTGAGGTCCTGTGTCAGACTTTTGTTCGATTTTTTTCTTATGTCTTAAGTTCATGACTTTCACATATTGTTCATCTGCTGTACATAGCACTTCTTCAGTTTCCTCAAGATTTTTTAAGATTCACTGCACATCATGCTGAGATCTTCAAAAAGCTATCAGTTTTAGGCTAAGAGCAACCTTGTTTGTGTAAAAATAATACATTGTGCCTATCAAACTGTTTTATCTTTGACATTTTCATAGGTTCAACTAAAAAAGTTGGAACAAATTATGTGTTTTTGGCGGCTCGCAACAAATCCTAAAGATACAATTTAAAACTGGATCTTTGCTAAGTTGCATGTTATACACATACAACACTGATTCATCCCTTAATTTAGATGGGCCCGTGTTAAGTAGTTAAAAAAGCATTCCTCTAAATATGGTCAGGTATACATATAAAAGGTATAAAATTACTGAAATAGCAGCCAAAGAAAAAGAAATGAGGGGTGTCTCAGGACTTTTTGGCCAGCTGTAACTCAAGTCTGAGAACCAGAAAGCCTTCAGCAGCTAAAAATGAGGAAATATGGAGCAAACAGCATCATTTCAAGCAGTCACTGGCAACACAGTCTCACGAGCCTGACCAAGGACACCAAGGTCCAGGCTTTTTCCCCCTTCCATCTGCTAAATCACTAAAATGTATTAAGATACTCAAATAAAAAATGTTTCAAATTAAATGTCAGAGAGGGCACGTGTCACAGGAAATTGTGTGTTAGACAGGAAAAGGGCGCCCTAATTTTCGCTGTATCTTAATGACTTTATTTTAGTGACATCTCACCTGTCTAGGTGAGACATAACAGTTTTGCTGATGTCACCCCCGGCCTCCTGGAGTATCCGAACGATCTCAGCTGGAGCGGCGTGATCCCTGCCAGGATGGATGATAACAGGACAGCCCAGCTGAGCCTGAGCGTGCGCCGAGGCTCGCAGCACCTTAGTCTCGCTCTCCGTGATGGGCCAGCTGGTGCCGATCTCACCGATCACACCGCAACGGATGTCTGTGCCGTCAGCGCCGTGAAGGACCTCACTGATGATGATGTCTGTAAGCTGAAGGTCAAGAAATGAGGAGCTGGCGTGTGTTCATTTATTGAGAATACGTTTTCTAATTTCCCTCTTTCCCTTTACTAAGGATTGAAGGAGATGATGAAAGCATAGTTATAGTGTGTCTAAATATCGCTGAGTACGGTATTCTCAGGGTCATTCTCAGGTGTAGCTACCAAAAGACTAGACAACGTTGTCAGAAATCCATTCAAATCAATCAAAAGGCATGAAAAAAAAATCCTCACATACTGAAACAAGCATGCTTAAAACTTTCTAACAAAGGTGTGTGAGCTCCAAACCCCACCACAAACTGGGACGCACCTTCTCCACACTCATTCCTTTGGTGGCCTCAGAGTGGGTGCAGTCCACGTAGTACCCTGCACCTGCAATGATGTGGACCCCGGTGTCCTTGGCCAGCTGTCGGAGGGTGGGAAGGTCCCGTTCGATTCCAGTGGTGGTGTTCTCCACTATCGTTCCCCCGCCGGCTCTCCTGTAGGCCAGCAGCTCGTCCCGCACAGCGGCGGTCTCCTGCTTCAGGAGCAGGTTCTCGGGGGAGCTGTACGGGTTTTGCCTGAGCCAGAACATGTGCTGCATCTGAAACGGGTTCTCTGCCACTGCCTCGTCTCCTGGGGGAGGGGGCGAGAAGCAGCACTCGAAGCTCATGGTCAGGTGCTCGTGGGTCATAGTACGGCCAAGCTGGTCTGGATCTACTAAACCCAGCACGGTCTGGACCCTCCCGCTCAACTCAGACATGATGCTATGAGGAGTGTTCAAGATTTCCCACAACCTGAAAAGACATACAGTATCATTTTTTATTTATTTTTTACATCTATTTTTTTACATCTCTCAGACAAATATTTCAGTTTTTATAGAAAGATCATTGAGATAATTGAGGAATTTGGTCATCCCATGACTGTAAAGCAGAGCTGCTCCTTCTTAAAAATGACATTACCTACAGTTTCATGTCTGCACCCACGAGGCTTATTTTCAACATAAAATAGCAACTCATTTAAAAGAATCTCAAACTAGTTTTTACCTCGATATGACGACGCTGTACATGCCTTGCAGATGTAGCCATGATTTACACAGGGGGAAACAATTATCTGATCCCCAGCTGAATTTGAAAGTTTGCTCACTTCCAAAGAAATGGGAGTTTCCCCTCAATGACCTCAATGTGCTTGGTGGTATGTTTTGGGTCATTTTTATGCTGGACGACCCATCTTCAGTGTTCTTGCTGGGAAAAGGAGGTTTTAGTCCAAGATATTACGGTGCATGGCCCCGTCCACTGACGTCCAAATTAATTTATAATTTATAATGCAATGTGATCTTTTTCTAGATCTTTGGTTGACATTCTGTCTCGCTCTATTAAAATGAAGCTTCCATTAAAATTAGAGACTGTTCAATTCTGTGTAAGTAAACAAACTTATAAATTTCTGAGGGTCACTGACGTTGCTCAGCTTGTGAACACAAACAGCAGGCATCTTTCATTCCCGCCTTTGGCTGCAGCAGGTCTGCTTCTTTCAGCTTCTGTTATCGACTCAATTCCTCATATTTATTTAGGATTTCTCATAGACTGTATATAAAAGGATTACCCACGACCCTTCACATAACCAGCACTGAGTAACAAATGGGCCCCTGTAGACCTGTCAATGTTTGCCACTGTCATCTGTTAGCAACTCCACCCTCTGAATGTGCACGCGCGGAAGACCTGAGCTGACCCTGAGAGCTGTTGTAGGCTTGACAGTCGCCGTCACGTGACCGCTGAGCCTGGTTACCGATCAGTGAAGCCAAATAACAACATCCATCCTTTGTTTTATAGTTCCCGTGTAAAGTTTCGGCCGTGCCGTGCAGCACTGTTACACATCAGACACATGTGTGAGTGCGTGTGTGTTGGCAAAAAGACAACGCATTCGCTCACTCTGCTGACTTTACAGTGCATACCAGAGCGGGACCTTTGGACTGCCAAGTACAAGCCCCGAGCCACACTTTGAAAAGTTGCATTTACTTACTCAAATCTTTGCTGTATGCTCGATGAAAAAAACCCTTCAGACCAGCACTGTACGCGTTAAGTTGTTGCTCTACTGGAACAAAGTAAAACTGCTTCTCTTTAAATAATGTGCAGCAGAGTCAGACCTGCAGCAGTATATTTAGGGGATTTAAACTTTCACCGAGCTTTAGAATAAACTGTAAGACAAACAGTCTGCTAGACCTTGTTTCTGCTCACTTCAGCCCACCTCCTCCTCCAGCCGAGTACGGATAGCTGCTTTGACAGGTTAGCTGAACGCCTTCGGTGATCATCGCGAGACATCGCGAGAATACGCTTCTTGTAACATATAACAGGGAGAGCAACAAAGTTTGTTGAAATATAGCGCCAAATCTCAACAGCGGTAACCTCGGTGCGCTTTATTTTGTAAGGTAGATCCTTCAATAATACAGAGAACACCCCCAACAATCAAGCAACATCCTGGAGCAATTAATTTATTGTAATTTTTTGTATTGAAGCAGCTATCTTCTATTTTTATTTTATTTTATTTTTTACATCCATCCAACTTTTATCTGATCAGGTAAGGTTAACTCAGAGGTTCCCAAAGTGTGGGGCCCGCCCCCTAGGGGGCGCAGTATAGGAAAAAAAAAACACTTGGACACTGTTAGCATAATGGACAGGTCTTTTGACGGGGCTCCCACACAAACGCAAAGCAGGAGATGAAGCATAGCCAAATATGTTTTCAAACAAACTTCCTTCTAAGCCAAAGACTAGAAAATATGGTGAAGCATATCTTCCCTTTGGCTTCACCTGCAGAAGTGCCGAGGTAGGTCTCCCCTGCAGAATTAGTTTTCTCTGTCGGGAGCACGCACTGGGTTCTCCAAATCACGGACAAACAGTATCCCACATTCTTGATTTTTAGTTCACAAACACTTGTTGTAACGACTAACTACTCCTGACATTTTGGAGATGTTAGCTCTTTATATAATAAAGTTACAGTGGGATACAAATAATATCAGACGACTGATCCTGCAGTAATTTGTTCCCCCGGTTCAAATCACAGACAAACAGCATCCCATCCCACAGTTGTTCATGTTTTTAAACCCATTTTGGACAGAGAGGCATTTAAAAAAAATGTATTGATAGCAATGTTGAATATTATTACACAGGGAAAAAACAACTACACGTAAAATAATTACACCGTGACGCCTCTGCCTTTCTAAATGGAGGGACAGTAACTGCGTGTGTATATGTAAGCATGTAAAAACTGCAGATAGTCAGATTAACAGTATTTTGTCTCTATCTGCCATTCTGCAATTCATCTCATGTAAACAATAACGTGGCAACATGTTACCAATTTCAATGGAATTTGAAAACAAAATATGGGTGTGTGTGTGGTTGGAGGGTGTGTTTTCTTTTGGGGGGGGGGAGTTACAACATTTTTCTTGTAAAACAAAGGGGGGCCCAGCAAAAAAAAGTTTGGGAACCACTGGGGTAACTAAAGCTCATCCCAGCTGATTGTGAGCTGGACCTTAAAAAGACTAATCAAAAGTGTTATTAAAACACTTTATAAACCTCTTATAGATGGTGATTAATGAAATGTTAACACCAGTTTATTTTGAAAGCATGAGCAATTTAACAGATTTATTCACGTAACCACATCAAATGGGAGGACATATGAAGATGATGCAGGCTTCGGCAGACAGACTGTGACTCTTTCTGTTTGCTCTTCACTCAGCAGATGGTCTCCACAGCAGCATTTGGTCTGCTGGTGCAGGGAACTGCCCTGTGAGCACTCACCATAGCTCTGGCCGTCCCTGCAAATGGTTTGGCTAAATCACATGATGCAGGGGCCCGTGGCATCCATTTGTCAACAAGATGACTCCATAGATCAGAATGATAACATATGGGACTGGGTTCAGTTTTCATGTTCAGAGTGAATAAATGGCCATATGGCTGTGGTGGGTTTTTTGTGTTTATTTTTTCATTTATTTATTTTTTAAGCCCCACAGCAGACTGGCAACCTGTCCAGGGTGTATCCTGCCTCTCGCCCTAAGACAGCTGGGATAGGCTCTCTGCCGCGACCCTGACAAGGATAAGCGGAAAAGGATGGATGGATGTTTATTTTTTTGTCTTGCTCTAACCCAACTGTTCCCAACTGTGGTTCAAACAGGATTGTTTAGGTTTTATTTCATCACCTCTAGATCCTTGTTCCACTTGAAGTTGAAGTTGTGTCCTTTGGACTAAAAATTGTGGAAACCCCACTTATTTTTATCTATTTCTATCACGTTTTATTTCTCTATCTTCCTTAGTTTACTCTGTTGTCTATTCATTAGCATTTAATGAAATAAAAACTCTTAACAATAAATAAAGGAGAAACATTTTGACTCAGTTTTACTCCCCAAAACAGGCACTCAAAATGAGACCAAAATACACGACAAATCGCAGAAATATACAAAAATGAACCTTACACAAAAAAGCACTTATATATATATTTAAAGAAAATCAACCAATATTACTTACAGTAAGCTGAGAAACAAAATCAATGCTGCCAGCCACCACGACAGCAACTACATAAGCACATAAAATAATCAGGCAAACTAGCAGGAATACAGAATAAAGGTAGTGAGTCAAAATATAAGGATTTTTCCAGTGCTGTTACTCATGAGCCCATACCATACCACTGCAGGGTTCCTCATTACAAGAGAAGATGTCACCTCCCGTTCATCTGCATGGATGACATATTTCTGAGGGTCATAACCAGAGGGAGATTCTCTGGCATGAGTAAAACCATCTCTCATGTGGACTTATACTTCCCGAGGCCCAGCTCAGCCTTTAACAAGCATTTAAAATAGATATATAGTTTGATTTTATGGAGATAATGTTCGTCTTGGGCAGTTGTTCAGTCCTGATCAGAACCATCAGATTTGAAAAGTAGAGTGCAGACTGTTCTTTTTCCAGTTTGGAATGATTGTACAGCATACATCTTTAATCACATGAATTGGTTTGAATTTGTTTTGGATTTTCTCTAATCCACACAGGGTCCAGACCATACACCTCCACTAATATTTGGTCAAATGTCCCTTAGCAAGTTACAACTTGAAAAGACGCTTCAGGCATAACTGTGGCTCGATATTTGACAACTCTTCTTGGCAGAATTGGTAGAGTTTAAATCAGTTTGAGGCAGATTTTAAGGATAACCTACACATTTTCAATAGGATTGCACTCTGGGTTTTGGAAAAGCAATTCCATCAGCTTAATGTTTGGCTGCTTTATCCATTACAAAACCAGTTTTGATGCATTTTCATGCAGTGCTTTATTTTTTTTGGTCAGCATCCCCTCAGTCCATGGTGAAAACTCTCCTCACTGTGGACAGTGACAATGGTGTTCCAGCAATTTCCAGTTCATTGCAGGCTTGGTGGTCTTGGTGGCTCTTTGGTTATTCCTGAACATCCTAACAAATTTCCGCTCATCTGAGGGTGACAGTTTGGATCTTCTTCCAGACCATGGCAAAGTGATGACAGATCCAAATCACTTCTACTTATGTAAAACAGTTTGAAAAAATGATCCTGGAATCTGCAGTTGTTTAGAAAATGCTCAAAGAGACCTTCCTAACTTTAAATCTACAGTTATCCTTCTGACGCTTTCACCAAGTTCCTTGGACTTTCCAATTGTTATGGGTAATTGGTCAATCCAGTGAGTGCTGTCAACATCACATATTAAAATATTAATGTGATTTTTACCCGGTGTGGATAAAAGAAAATCCAAAATAAATTCAAATTTGTGCCCCCAGTTCTTCTTTGTTTTTGTTTTTAAGTCATTAAAGATGCATGCTGTATAATATTTCCATCCTGGAAAAGGTTTTTTTTTAAAAAAATCACTGAAAGCCCAAACTTACCACTGCGCGCCAATGAATAGTGTATGGAAATGTATTCCTTATCTTATTTTCATTTCTCCTTTTTTCACTGTAATTTAGATATAAATTCAAGATATGATTGCGCATAACCTAAAATCATTACTGTGACTGCTAAAAACCCTCTGAGACTGGACTTCAGGCAGCACGTCGAGCAGAAAATAGAGCAAACGTTGTGCTCTGGCGCCCTCTGGAGGCAAATTAAGCAAACATCAATTGTAGTTTTATGTGAAAGGCAAAAGATAAAATGCTTTAATCGTTTTAAATACCCGCTTTTGTCCACTGATGTAAGTGAATATACACATAGCTGTACTCTTGCCTGAGGGGGGGACTGTGGTTCTTTCAGTCAATAACTCTGATGTGAATGACAATAAAAGCTGTGGCCGCCTGATTGTTGTTTCTGGTCTGTGTCACATTTTCAGGCTGGTTAGGCTGACCAGTGCTTCAGGCTCTGTGAATCAATAAATTAGTGTCAAGAAATAAAAGTGAGACAATGCATTATGAGGACAATGAACTGTGATGTACCGCAAAACTCACCCTCAAGTAGCTACAAAATTCAGGCAGAGGCAGAGATTTCTTGATGGTCCACAGACAAGAAAATGTGACTGAACACTGACCTTCCATTCAGGTTTTATTCATTAAGATTGTTATATCATTTAAAAGACACATCATCATTATGCCTTTCTTCATGCCTGCTTTGATTTAATGGCAGGAAATACATAAATCCAACTAAAGTAGAAGAGAAAGTACATCTATAAAGATTCACCATACAGCATCTGAAACACTGGATATCAGTTGAGTATCAGCTACAGCTTACGCATTAATAAGTCACTGTAACAGTCACCACTCATTTGTGAAGGCTTTCCACAAGATCTTGATCTCTAGCTGCAGGGCTTTTTATCCATTACATCATCAGACGCATCAGTGAGCTCAGTCTGATGTTAGCTTGTTAAAGCATGGCTCGCAGTGTACTTTATATTTAAGTGTATTGTGGTAGATGTGCATGCCTCAGGGTTGTGTGCATGCTCTTGGTTCTTTGTTTGCCAAAGAAAGTCAACTCTTTTTTTTTGAAACGAACCGCTTTTGTGTGCAGGAACACTTGAAACAGGAGATGTTAAAGCTCAGTTTGAGATCTTTTTCAGCCAGAGGGCCCAAAAAAAGAAAAACAGAGATAACTGAAGTGAAATATAGTACCGAGTTATGTTAAATTTCCTGAATCTGATAAACACGACAGACTGTTTAAAAAAAAACAAAAAAAAAAACAACGGCTGTGTGCCCACACAGACGGTCAGAGAGAGTCCATGTTTCAAAAAAGTTTCTGTTGGAATCCAATTAAATATGAGTCCAGACTGGAGATTCAACATAATGCTGCTTTTACTGATTTTAGGGGTTTTGTTTTCT